TCCAGACCGGCTCTGGGGCCCACCCAGCCTCCTCTACAATGGGTACCGGGGTCCTTTCCCGGGGGTAAAGCCGGCCGGGGCGTGATGCTGACCACTCACCCCCATCTAGTGCCGAGGTCAAGGAAGAGAGGAGCTATACCTCCTCTCACCCCAAACGCCTACATGGCGTATAGTGGGACAAACTAAGTTAACATAATTGTATGATGGCCTATATCTCGATTTAAACTGGGGATCCTGGATACTCGGAACGATCCGTTCTTCCAGTGCCTGAGCATTGCGGGTCCCAACTTTTCCTTGGCTTGATCTATAGATATTCGGTAGGACTCCTTCCTTGGACGAGGGATCGGCCCGTCGCAAGGTCTCTACCTGTACACAGGACAGCACAACACAGGAAAACATCCATGGTTTGAGTGGGATTCGAACCCACGGTCCCAGCGACCAAGCGGCACAAGGCCCACGCCTCAGACCGCGCGGCCACTGCGGACCCCTAATTTAAACTAGAGAAAAATATTAAATTTTCATTATATGTATTACTCATGAAACTGTCTACACTTGCCTGCTCTTGAAGTCGAAAGCCCATGCATCAGTCTGACTCTCATTCTCACTGACGTGTTCTGCAATTTCCTTCTCATGACAATTTTCAATTTTCTCTCTCTCCATCTCGTACTAAAACCACGTTCCTGAAATCCGAACAAAGCGCTGCATTGAACTCCTCTTTGAACCACTTAAACACGGAATAAGCCCGAGATAAAAATGTCATTGTGATAAAGGAGTCACCTATCGTCATACTGTGTAACTAAAGGAATGTGACGTAGGCGGAAGGGAACAAGCTCCATGCATCACACACCTTCTGATAAATGATTAATTTGAGTGTTTTTGATGCTTTTTAACTGTGACGTCACGTAGCGTCGAATGATAGGCACGATAAGGAAAGGATTTGGATGTGTCGTCTATATTCCATATTCGGAAGGATGTGTGAAAAACCACGCAACTATTAGTCAGAATATTTAGCGTTCTATCCGAGATCCGAACGCGGGCCATGCGAATGAGGTACGAATGCTAAATTATTGTCCTCTGACGATCCTTTAATCGCCGGTCAATGGGTTAAGATGAATCACTTCACGTTATTAATTTGTGAACCTGTTGTAAGCTGAAATGTAGTCGCCAAAAAAATTGCATGCAGTCAGGGCACAAAGACAGATCACATTTCATAAATTAGCACATTTTTATACCACAAAATCCGGCTATCGGTGGCGTGTGGGCATTTTTATTGTGACAAGTAAAGTCACACGTGTTAACAGCCAAGGCTTTAAGCGCCCGGTGAACAGTAAGACACCTTGGCGGGAACGCAGCACTCAATTAAAGGCTCCAGAAGGAATTATCTTTCCCACCCGACAATAAGGTGGCGAATGAAATGCTTAGTTGCGTTGCACTCCGCTTGTGAGAGGGCACAGAGACGTTCAGAGCGTGTAGATTTTGAAGTGAATCGATCCACTTCACTTCATTCTTTACTGCGGCAAGTTCATTACAAGCTTCAGCAAAAGAACTGCTGACCTGCATTTCCGCTTTATCTTCACGCATCGATCGTCAACGGCCTTCAGACGAGAGGCGATAAGACACAGCCCCGCTTTCTGATGATTAGCAGTAAGAAGGCACCAGGTGGACCGAACTGCTTATTGCAAGGCTATCTATGACGAACAGCCTTTGTACCCCCAAATCTTGTAAGGAAGATAAGGGGAGAGGCATGGATTGGAGAGGACCGAAATCGCGGGAAATAGACGTACTCTGTGTCATTCATAAAACAGGGAAATTATGGCGTATAGTTAGGATCATACTTGAGACGTTGGCGGCCTGGTAGGCAACTGACGTGCGCATTCTGAACCCCCGCACCCCTTTTATGAATGGAAAACACAGGTCTTCAGTACAAATTGATCTGGCACTTTGGGGTTCACGTAATGAAACTGAAGTCATAAGTCTTTGATATTGTGGAGGAAATTAGTATGACGATTTCTGTCTTCTGGGTTGTTGCGCCGTGTAGTCTGGTCGATGTTAACCAACGCTTCAGAGGTCATACTGCCTCCGTCATCAGGGCGATGAGTATGAAGATTCCTGTCTTCTGGGTTGTTGCGCCGTGTAGTCTGGTCGATGTTAACCAACGCTTCAGAGGTCATACTGCCTCCGTCATCAGGGCGATGAGTATGAAGATTCCTGTCTTCTGGGTTGTTGCGCCGTGTAGTCTGGTCGATGTTAACCAACGCTTCAGAGGTCATACTGCCTCCGTCATCAGGGCGATGAGTATGAAGATTCCTGTCTTCTGGGTTGTTGCGCCGTGTAGTCTGGTCGATGTTAACCAACGCTTCAGAGGTCATACTGCCTCCGTCATCAGGGCGATGAGTATGAAGATTCCTGTCTTCTGGGTTGTTGCGCCGTGTAGTCTGGTCGATGTTAACCAACGCTTCAGAGGTCATACTGCCTCCGTCATCAGGGCGATGAGTATGAAGATTCCTGTCTTCTGGGTTGTTGCGCCGTGTAGTCTGGTCGATGTTAACCAACGCTTCAGAGGTCATACTGCCTCCGTCATCAGAGTATGAAGATTTCTGTCTTCTCGGTTGTTGCGCTGTGTAGGCTGGTCGATGTTTACCAACGTTTCAGAGGTGATACTGGTAAACATCGCCCAGCCTACACAGCGCAACAACCGAGAAGACAGAAATCTTCATACTCACCGCTGTGAAAACCTCAAATCTTACAAGAACTTCGAATCTCATGGGGCAGTGACAGACAAGAGAATGGTTTTGTATGTTTCTTGTGTAATAAAATTCAGTTTGAGTTTAACTGACTTCTTGGGAAATAAAGTTCGAAACGAAACCATTTATGAAATTAAGAAAGCTAAATATTTCTCATTGTTGTTACACTGCGCTCTTGATTTTGCATAGCGAGAAGACAGGATCGTCAGAATTACCGATGGAAGTGTTTCTATACAAGAGACCTGCATGAACTCATTTAATACCCATGAAGACAGATAGTAAACTGGCATAACAGATGCTTAATAAATTACTCTTTGTTGGGAACCAGGTACGAAGCGTTTTGCACTCTAAACTTCATTCCGCAGCTGTAAAATGTCGTTTTCAGGGAAGCCTATTTCATAGCAGTTTTCCTAGGTTTACTCAATTTTTCCTCTTAAAAGAAATTGCCTCTTTCTATTTCATGACTCACGAAATGCTTCTGCAACATTCTTAGAACACCCAAGGCATATATTCACAGTCACGAATATTTCTTCCAAATTTCGTATATTTTCCAATCACGTAGTCCGCAACAATCAGGAAACAGAAAAAGTAACGCGATACAACATACATCACAGCATATTTTAAGAAGAATTACGATTTTCAAACTTCATAATGAATTCTGCTCGGGCTACCAGCCGTGTCAGGTGGTTGAATGGAGAAAGCACCACGTTTCGAGAACCATCTTCGTCCTCGTCCTCAAGGTACTGAACTGGCTGGCAGCCTGAGAAGAATTCATTATACTTAGTCGCCGTAAAACATACTTCATTGATATTAATATTTCTGCAATGGCCCCTGGCGTCGAATCTACCTGTCGGCAGTGATTTTTCGCCTTCCTCATGACATATTATGAGTTGTTTTATTTTGAATGTGGTGTGTTGTTTTGTTGTGTCTCATTGTTTTGTTGTGTCTCATTGTTTTGTTGTGTCTTATTGTTTTTGTTGTGTATTATGTTTTTTGTGTCTTATTGTTTTGTTGTGTCTTATTGTTTTGTGTCTTATTGTAGGACCACTGCCACCGGGTAAAAACCCATTTGCAGTCAAATAAATAATAATAAATAATAAAAGACGAATCGACCAATACTGAAGCTATTCTAACAAACTGTACGTAGTGACGTCATTCGTGGACTTTCAGTATTCCTCGTTCTGTTTCACCAGCAAGCAGGAAGTCGTCCTTACGCGCCTCATGATCTGTCACACTTTCCTGTGTCCAGTCCTCGGTAGTTCCTTTAGAAAATCTGTATGCATGCAGTGCAGTTGTTTCGTATCGAGACTGTTTCGACGTAGTCAGGACAAAACTGGTTAACAATGACCAACAAATACGAGCCACAGCGGACAGCCTCGTGGGCTGAAATGCGCCTGGCATTAATACACTGTAAGTAAATGCTAGTTAGTGATAACAGGGGTTCGAAGTTGTGTTATGATGGGCAAGAAGATCTTTAATGTATGTAGATCCTGTACACTGTTAATGTTGTAATTGTCACAGGCTACGGACTCGCGTGATGCCGAATATGGCGGCGAGGTAAGCGAGGTGCAAGGAGCTCGAGCAGTGGAAGCACATTTCGGTGAGCAGTTTTCGTTCATTTATCCTCTTGTATGAAGAAAGGCATTAAGAGAAACGCGCGACAAAGCAGTACATTTTGGGTTCTGACTTCGAAACTTCATTTTTGTAAGAAATTCACGTTTTGTCATGACCATCGGAAATCGGAGACACAAAATTACATTTTTTTTTAAATTGGACGTCCTATCTGCTTTGCGATCTCGAATATGGACGAAACTCCATTAAGAAAAGGCTGCAACTAGCTCGGCTGTAAAATTCAGCTACGACATTCTAAAAAGAGGCGACGTTCTTTGGGCGTCAGGCACGTGTAACTTTCAGTGGTCGCCATGAATGTGTTACTTCAGTAATCGTTAAATTAATTTATTTCTGTTGGACGCGGAACCTCGCAATTAAAATTAAACTTCGAACGTGCTCTATGTCCGTATTATTCATGTTTCCTGTTTTGTATTGATATTATTGTTAGCTTTCATTCTCTTCAAGAAATGCATCCCATGGAAGTGTAAAGGAGAGGTTCTGCTTAAATCCGATGATGTTTTCCGGCAGGAGAATAGTGAAAGTTTTCCTTAGATGCGGAGATCAAATGAGCGGTCGGACAGACGATGGAGTAACGTAGTTCGAAAATGGCGTTGGCGACATTCTGAGGCGAGGCTGTTCCTTTGAATCTCTGTGACTTGATATAGAATGAAGGCAAATGTCAAACGGGCTTATGGTCATTCTGGTGGTACAAGGACAGGCAGGGAATCGAATCACGGCAGTCCAGACTGTTGGAACTCAACTATCATTATCATTCCCATAAATGTTATGCACAGAAAGAAAATGGAAGTTTCAGTAACAAATGTTGCAAAGCAGATGCATTATTTCTTTGCATAAATGAGCTGTACAAGGGGAGTTAAGCGATTCCCTGCCGAAACTGCTGTACTCTACACCCGTTACGTTTAGTATTGAAACTATCGGGAGAACGTACTTTGTTTTGATTCACAAATGGCTCGTCGTGCGAGAAACAGGCATATTCAGCGAGCCACAATGTGAAATAACTATTTTCTGTGCAATATCGAATCTGTAGTGTGACTGCCATTACCAAGCATGCGTCTCTCCTGCGATAAACGAGCATCAAGACCAATGAGGTATTCCAATACTCCATCCGCGGTACGGTTCCCAGGCCGCAGGCTGATGACCGGATTTTCACTTTCCCTGCCCTCCGAAAGGTCACTTCAGGTCAAAGGTCGCGGAAGCCTAGCTGAATGTGACGTTCCGTTCTCACTGATCGACACTTCCTCAAGTTAAGAAGCCGATGACAGTTGCGCCATGCGCCGAGCAGCAGAATCTTTGGAGGTACCGGATTCCAGCGCCGAACATACGAGGTGCGATCGAAAGGTTTCAAGACTGCGCGTATAAAAACCCGT